GGTTTTTTATTATATGATTAATATTTTATAGTGTCAAATAATTTAAACTATAAAATATTTTTTCATTAAAAATAAATAATGAAATTGTTATAACCTTATTTTCAAAAAATCTGAAAATAAAATACAAGATATGGAAATAGGATTTTTTTGGCAAGTAAACAAAGAAATAGTAAAAAAAAAATTTAGTTTTTTGGGCCATGAAATAGCTAAAATGTTGCTCCTAAAACAGAATTATAACATATTCATATCCATAAAAAGGAGATAAATATCATATTTATGTTTATAATTGCCTTTGAAATTAACAAAAGAAATCACAATTTAATAAGTAGTGACATACATTTGAGTTAATTTTACTAATCTCCTGTCATATAATGATTTATCAGCGATTATTTTGTAGTTTCAAATATGACGATCTAATTCAAAAAGCTCGGTGTCAAGAGAGAAACAAAAATATAAGACTCTCGTTGGAGTCAAGAGAGACTGAAATTTACATGGTGAATTTGCTTAGTTGGTGATATGTCAACGTAAACTGATTCATGAAGAAATTAGAAAAATTGTTCTTAAAATCACTCAAACCTGCTCCGGTAAGAGCAACATGTACTATTGTTCCTTACAATCACAATCTTAATTTTTGCTAAACAAGTCCTAATTGAGCCAAGCCTACAAAATCAAAAGATGTTCACACAAACAAACTCAACTTTTATACATGGTGAGCGTGACTCAATCATGCTTGTGATAGTAGGCACTGAAAAGAAGAATCACAGCCTAAATTTTGAATTGGGAATCACAATCTTCATCTCCTCCTCCTAACACTTTATCTAGATACAATCAAAGTAGCAAGTACAAAGAAACCAGGAGCTTCAAACCTGAAATTGAATTAATTCATAACTCAAACTTTTGATTAACATTCAAACAAACAATTAAGAAATAAAAACCTATATAAACTTGAAGGAAAATATACTCCAGAAAATGGAACTTTGATAAACAAAGGATGGAATAAATACCTGAGATCTAACGGCAGGGTTATGGGGTGAAAATCAGACCTTAAAATTAAAGATTTTAGTCATGTGTGTCTATGCAATCCCCTGCTTTCCTCCTTCATGCGTCTTTATATTAGTTGATAATTTGGAGAAGGCTTCTAAATGTCTTCAACGTTGATGTACAACCTGATCATTCAATCAAGAGATTTGATTAGCAAGTCGAAGTTGGAGTTAGAAGGAGGGTTATTTTCTTTAAATTTAATTGGGAACCCAAACTCAGTTTCCAGTGACAAAAGAAAACGAGTCTGTAGTTGTGGTATAAATGAAGGGATTGAGATATCACAAATTAAACATACTTACTTTTCATGCCGTTTGATAACTTCCCAATCTATCCAGATCTTGGAAATGTGGGAAATCTTGGACCATTCCTCTCCTGCATATTTTTTGCCTTCTATATATTTTATGCATCTCTTCTTTAAATTAGGACATTCTCTAATGTCCAGATCTTGAAGAGAAGAGAGGTTTCCCAACCAGTCTGGTAAAACTTCCACCCTGTTGAATTTTCTTAGAGTCAATGACTTCAGGGCAGTGAGATGCTGAAGCTGATCTGGCAGAAACTTTATTTTATCCCATCCTATCAATGTTAAATCTTTCAGGGAAGCACGAAGGTGAATGACGCAATCGAGTCCTGGGAACTCCTCCAAATCTGAGCTGAAAGGACCCATCGTTAACTCAATAAGGGATTTTAGGGCTTCGAGTGGAAACAAATGCTTTAGATTGCTGCATTCAAAAATGTGAAGTCGTTGAAGAGAAATGAGGTTTCTCAATCCCTCTGGAAAAGCTTCCACTCCATCGAAATTTGAAAAAGTCAATTCTTTCAAGGCAGTGAGGCAGCGCAGGCACTCCTCCGGAATGCTCCTTATATTAAAGCATTTATTAATCCTCAAAAGTTGAAGAGATGAAAGCCCGTTCATACTTGGGATAGCCATCAGTTTGTAACATTTGCTAATCTCCAAATGAGACAACTTATGATGAGATGAAAATCCACCAATCTGCCAAATTTCCAACCGAGGACAATTGTCAATTTTCAAAATCTCAAGGCAAGGAAACACAATCTCGACTTTCCCTCCTCCTGCTATATCATCATCATCTACTTCAATCCATTCCTCTAAGCTTGGCAGGCTGTCTAAGCGGAGTTCCCTCAAAGCTGGGAACAGTTTGATTGATTCTACTCCTCCTGGACTATTACTTTTGGTGGGATCAAACTTATGACCCATTCTTTTTACATTTCCAAAACCATCAATATGAAGAGACTTGAGACTAGGTAAAAGTCCCAAACTAGGAATATGTTCACAATTATGCCAACCATGTAATTCCAACTCCACCAGATTATTGGACAAAAATATAGCACC